GGGTCCGAGCCGATGCGGCGGTTCCTGCTGAGCCTCCTCCGCAGCTTGGACGTGGGGCCCAACGCCACGCGCGTCGGCGTGATCCAGTATTCGAGTCAAGTGCAGAGCGTCTTCCCTCTCGGAACCTTCTCACGCAGCGAGGATATGGAGCGCGCCATCCGCACTCTAGTGCCACTGGCGCAGGGCACCATGACCGGGCTGGCAATCCAGTACGCCATGAACGTGGCCTTCAGTGTGGCCGAGGGCGCGCGCCCGCCGGAGGCGCGCGTGCCGCGCGTCGCTGTAATCGTGACCGACGGGCGGCCCCAGGATCGCGTGGCCGAAGTGGCGGCGCAGGCGCGCGCCCGCGGCATCGAGATCTACGCCGTGGGGGTTCAGCGCGCGGACGTGGCCTCCCTGCGCGCCATGGCGTCCCCCCCGCTGGACGAGCACGTCTTCCTCGTCGAGTCCTTCGACCGTATCCAGGAATTTGGCCTTCAGTTCCAGCGCCGGCTGTGTCGTGAGTGAGGGGAGCGCTGGAGCGAGACTCGAACTCTCCAACCGCTCCGAATCCCATTCCCACCACAGTGAATCCTATCCTCCTCCCGGCTGGCCCCGCCCACTCCATCTTTAGCCCCGCTCAACAGGCCGTGGAGTTGCCCTGGCCTACCGCGGGTTGTGTGGAATTCCAGCTCTGCGCATTTTTGCTCAAGGCTTCGCCCACAAGGAGCAACGTTTAGCGTGCCCGCGTACCTTGATGAGCTGTTGTGGTTTACCACAGGCTTAATGTCTAACTCCAAAACCGCCTCTCTACACGAGGGGCTGAGAGCCATCGCCCACTCGTGAGCCAAGCCCCGCCCACTTGGGGATGACCCCTCCCACTCTCGTTTTAGCTCCTCCCATAATGCTGCAAGATCTCATCACACCTTGAGTTATGCCGCTTACCTTGATTTACCATCTCTCTTCTTCCTCTACTTTACACCGTGTAGTCCTCCCTTATCCCACTGACATCTCTGGCCCCGTGCTCCTGTCTTCCGAGTCTATTCACAGGGGCCACTGAGGCCCTATACTTTCCCTAAGACCTTCCACCTGTATTGGCCCCTCTCAACCGAGTCATATTCCATCTAAAGACATCCTTGAGCATGGGGTCTGCTCTGACCGCATTCAGCTCTCTCTTGTTGGAGGGTTCTCCCCATCTGTCCCCTGCTGATTCTACTCTTGTACGTCCTCAGGAAAGGACCTGTGTGCTGAGGGGGGACACGGCTGCCAGCACCAATGTGTCAGCTCCCCTGGCACGTTCCACTGTGCCTGCAACCCCGGCTACCGGCTAGCAGCAGATGACAAGAGCTGTTTGGGTGAGAGCTACCCCCACCCTTCAGTCTCACTGCTCCTGAGCCTTCTGTGGCTCCCCATTGGCCTAGCATCAGTACAATGAGTCTGGAAGGGCCTTTGGAGGTCAAAGTCCAGCTCCCTCACTTTACAGATCTAGGAAAGGGAAGGTGTCGCTTGGGGTCACGTAAGTCCTTGGTGGGACCAGGGCTAGAAATCTTGACCTCACAGAGGTCATACAGTTAATACAGTTAAGTGTATTTTCTATAGCCTTCTCTCCCCCATCTTTCAGGCTCATCTCCTACCTGGCTCCAAAACAGCTCCCAAACTTGTGTAATTTCACAGGCATATCCTTACTGTTTCTGTTACTTGACAGAGTTGGGGTCTCCATACATCTCCTACATTCCCCACCCCCATATACGCTGCTCATTCCTTCTTCTGCTTTTCAGTTTT